CTAGGAGAATGTTGTGGGAGATGCTGTCAAAAGCGTTACCAAAGTCCAGGTAGACAGACGTCTTTTAGACGTTCATCCTGCAGTCACTTATATTTTAAGGCAAAAGAAGGATGCCTCGAACGTCCCATAAAAACAGTTGCTATAGATTGTACACCAATTGCTCAGAACTTCTCACAAATCTTTAAGCTGCCCAAGATCAAAAGGGGTTAAGACAGAGCTGCTCTGGGATGGCTTTCTGGCCTACGTCACGTAAAGTATCACCAGAATATTGCCAGCCAAGGGGCTTTGCCATTGTGGCCTTGTTAAGGAAAAAAGTCAGGCCGTTGCTCACTCTGCATAGGTGAGATCAGAGAGCTGAAGGATAAGTAAGGCAGATCTTGCTTAAAAGTTAGTAATGACTGCTCAAAAAGGTGAGGAGAGACGAGTATCAAGCAGTGGGGCTGGAGCTGAAAGAAGTTTGCTTTAATAAAGCTACCTCAGGGTATGGACGATAAAACCACATTGGAAAACAGACCCAGTAAAGCTAGAGGAGAAAGAATGCTGCTCCTAGTGGGGACAGCAAAGATACCATACCTGATACTTCCGTGCTAACGCAAGGTCTGGCTTTGCAAAGGCTTGCAACATCAGATTGGTTTTTCGGCCCAAATAGTTGTATGTACTGACAAAAAAATAAAACAACCAAAAAAATCAACAAACCAAAAATAGAATTAGTAAATGCAAAGGAGGAAGCTTAGAACCACTGAAACAGAGGACATGGCCACACACTTTCTCTGTTGACATAAGAATGCCATTATTATGATAGAGATTCATGCAATCTAAGTGTGCTTTATACTCTCAAGCATCTGAAGTTTGCCAGGCCTACGGGAAGAGTTTAGAGAGCAGATTTCTCTTCCCAGTTCTTTCCAAATGGAACTGCTTTTCAAAATTAAAAATAAAGAGAAACAATTGGACAACGCAGAAAGTCAATCACTTAATTTTCCAGTTGCTTGTTCATTTAATGCATCATCTACTCAAGAACACAGATATCACGCAGTAATTCATCTAAACAGCCTGGTATGAGGGGCAGAAGACAAACTGGAAATAAAACTCAGCAGGGCCCTTTTCCTCACAGGCTTCTCATGTGAACGAAGGTAAATGATTTTAACCTCTTTGAGTTTTGGTTCCTGATCCATATAGCGAAGATAAAAGGGAATCCCTACTTCAAAAAGTTGCCGTGAGGATAAAGAAGCATGTTACAACTTTTGGGTCAGCTTACAGGCTGCAGCAATAATCAATAGCATACTCCAAAATTCCAGGTTATACAACTGCCCCATTGCTAGCACTGGAGCTAGCTTGTCTGCCTGCTTGCTACTGTACAGCCCTACCCTGCAAAATCCTCCATCACCGTGACAGAAGACAGAGAAATACTATGTAGATAGGGAAAGAGACAACAATAAGGTGTGTGTGTTGAGGGGAAGGAGTTCAAGCCATACTGACCTTCCAACTGCTCCATCTGCCCCTATTGCCAGTGCACTCAACAGTTGCTAGTTTGGGGTGGGGGGAGGGGGGGGAAAAAAAAGGCATTTTTACTTCATGTAACAAAATAAAGAGGGAAAAAAGGTGGTGGGAGAGAGCAGCAAAACTACCTGGCACTGAATGTCCAGGGTTACTTTTTTCCCCCCAAGGCTGAAGCAACAGAATGCCATTGGAGAAGTAATTTTTAAGAGAGTTACCTTACCTTACCTTTCTTACCTCATCCACCCCATAAAGAAATGCAAACTGTTCTCTCTCATTTTTGTTTATACACTGTGCAAGGTCCAAGAGGTCCGTGTCGCTGAACTTCACACCCTGGAAGGTGGGGATCTGCTCTTTTATTCCATCCAGCAACTCTTCAACACGAACTGTGCAGAACAGCAATCTCATATGAAGAAACACATCCCTGTTCTGGGAGAATTCCCTGTATTGTTGCCAAGAGGGAGACTTGCTATTTTACAATTTGTTCCCTTTCGGCCTAAGCCTAGTTAACTACATAGCTCTAAAACAACCAGTAAGACAACTTCAGTGTGATTATTTCCCAGAGTTATACACAGGACATCTTTCTGCCCTCTGACCTTTAGCCAGATCAGAAGGGAAAAACCCTGGATAAGTGCAAGTTTAAGAATGAACTGGCAACAACATATTTAAGAATAAATATAAATTCATATATCCAGAAACACCTTGCTGTCCAGAACAAGTAACCAAAGATCTGTACTCTATTCCTCATTCCTCTGCTAAATAGTAAGCCTTGAGAAGCATTATGGTTTCAGACGTAATTTCCTAGCAAGCATGACCATGCTGTCAAAGTACACCAAGAGAGACGGTGGTAAGTATCTTGCAAAAACATTAGGATTCAACTATGGTTATCCAAGGCAATTACATATCCTGGCCCACACTAATTGCAAAGCCATGGTCAGCAGCACCTCTTCCATCCCAGTTGTTCAGTACTCATAAGCCGTGACTTTTTTCCAATGAAGAGGAATTCAATTTATTTTCCAGTGTTGGATTCACCTCCCATTTTCGGAAAGGATCCTTTCCACTACAGCTTGCACGTGATGGAAGCAGAGGCCACATACTACTGGCAGACTAATCACACCAGCCACTGGGATTACCCAAGTTGCTATGAGCCTATGGGCTCGGGAATACCTGACAAAGCACTACTTACTCTTCATACCCGTCAGAGGAGGAATGTGATAGTAGTAAAATGGAACCGCAGGGGCTTCAGATGCAACCTTCTGTAAGAAAGTAATCAGCTCATCTGGAAGAAAACGATCAAGTACCCCCATAAGAGAAGGAAGTTATCCATAGTGAAAGACAGTTCAGATTCACAGCAGGAGAGGCCATCTACAGCTTGCATACGACACACAGCCAATCATATAAAAACCTGCACACATTGTAAAAATTAAATGTAGCAAAACTCAGTGGAAGATCTTGGGGAAGGGAAAGATGATATTTATTTTAAAACAAAGCAATTTCAGTAACTCACACTCATTCTTTTATAGATACATCATGCATGCTCTCACACTTGCAAACTACAAGACCTGCATGCCAAAGTGGTCTCACCGGCATCACTTGTGTGCAAAGGGACCAAGTTGACATTCAGCTCCCCAGGGTACTGCTCGATGATGATACAAACAGATTTTCAGACTACTGTTTTAGGAATCAAAGGGTTGTTATGGTTGACATTCTTCCTGAGAGTCTTTTTCACTTCATCCTTCATAAATCTTAAGCAGTCTTCACATTGGCATTGCAGAAAGAGCAGTGTGCTGAACCTTCACTGCCATCCCGCTACTATCAGCAAAGGTTTTCTGCAGATCTTTGTGCTGTTCTTCCACGCTACCCTTTGGCTCCCATTGCCACTGTCAATACCAGCCATTTTAGCAATCCCCTCTGGTTTCTTCTGGTGCTTTCATATGAACATTTCCAGTCATAATTCATTCAGACAAATTTTAACATTTCTGTTACAAAGCTCCACTTCACGTGGTTCTTTTATGTTATGTTCGTTATATTAAAGGCAAAACACTCGACGTGTAAGTTCTGAGGTGACCTTAAGTGCACGAAACCAAACGTGATCCCCTCAGTAACAAGAGGCACGCCTGTGTATCAGCACTTTATCAACCTGGGTCACTGTCCAGCAAGAGTCAGCATGGAACCAACCGCTTCCTAGTGTGGCCCAGATCAAGCATGAACTATTCAGAAGACAGACTAGTTAACTACTCTTTCCATTAGCAATTCCTCTTTTTACAAGAGGCTAACAAAATATATCCCAAAAGACACCCTTCTCACTTCTTACTGGGAGACTTCTGATATCTCCCATCTTTAAAAAATGCTTCTTCTAGGTTTTGCACGGCACCAGACATGACAGGCATCCAAATACTATCACCAGAATACTTCTCAGAGAAAGAAGATGGTATTAATCCTTTTATCCATGATAAAGGTTTGGACGGCAATACAAAAGGGCCTCAGAAATCACGTCTACTCACCTTTGTTTGTGGGTTTGAAGAAGAAGGGGGCTATTACAGCAATACCACTAGCACCTATGGATGCTGCATGTCTTGCCTACAAGAGAATGGAAAGTACCTGAAGGTACATCTGCTTTATATTTATTACACACATAGTGAAAAGGAATCATATCATATACACACCAGCTCTTGGGACTCTGGCAGACTTAGTGTTCCCACATGAATGATCACATGATCCAGTCTGCACAAAAACAAATTGAAAAGGTTTGGGGAGGTTTCAGTCAGGGTTAAAAGTATCAGTCTGCCAAAATGACTCATTTCAGACCAGGGAGCCACAGAAGAACTTCACAGAGCTAGATTAAACCTAAAAGGGATTTGGACCCGTGTTGACCTGACGAGCAGACACACAGGGAAGATGCCAACAGTGGCAAGCAACTGGTGGTGGAAAAAAGAAAACACAAATATGAATCACGTGTGACTCCTTGCTGTTGTATTTGCAAGGCTGTCAGGAGGGACAAATCTTAGCGTTTTATTAGGAAGTTAAAATTAAGACATTAAGAATTTAAGAGAAAGCTGGGAAAAGGAAAGGATATCAAAGCAGATCTTTGCTTTTCTAACTCTATTGCTCTGCAGAGCTACTGGGAGAGTTCAACCTCACAGCATCACCTTGGACTGCTTGTCTGCTCCTGCCAAGGGCATCTCCCAGGCCCCAGTCCACCAGTCCATTTCTGTGGTTCTCCTTTATACCCATACAGACTGTGAGCCTTCACACCAGTTTATTTCTGCTCACTATCCTTCTCACCCAGAAGACGTCCACATCCTCTCCACATCCTCTGTTGTAGCAACTAAGGCGGCAGTAGTGAATGACACAAAACTACGACAGGTATGAGAGATGGAGAATGGACCTGCAATTAGATACACAGCTGCAGATCTGGCTTGAATTCCTTCTTCTGACACTGACTTTGCACCTTTAGGGAAGCATCAAAACACTTCATGCCTCAGCCTCCCCCATACCAAATCATTTAATATATTAAAAGGTTCAGAAATTCAGGGCATAAATAGGCAGATTGCTCTTTACTTTCATTTCTTCTCAACAATAAGCAAAGGCACAGCCATTTTTTTCCTCAGACCCCTGTTCTGTGCCACAACCCCTCAGTGCACCAAAGAGAAGCATAGGAATGGACACCAGCTAAGTGGCAGTGACAAAACTGCAGACTTCTATGATAAAGGAGATAGGGAACAAAGCCCAACAATAAAACACTCAAAAAAAAAAAAACCAGCCATCAGCAGATGTGGCTTTGCAATCGGTCAGGCATGCCTATATCCTAACCCAAGATCTGGAATCCCCTGTTGATCTCAGCTACTCACTTGTCTTTTCCTTGGCACACCCATTCTTCTGCCAACTGCTTCCTCTCCTGGATGTTAAGGGAGAGTCCTTCTCCTGTTGTGCCATTCACTGTTTCAACGCAACACAACATACTTGCTGAGGCCTGGCCTACGTGTATTAGTTTTACTGAAAACAAGAACTGACATTTTTCATGATATTAAACAGAAGTATTTTTCCCCCCAACTCATCTTAAGGTAGCAATGGTCCACACCAGCATCTGCACGAGGATTGCAGTGTTATCATCACTAAATGCTTGGGTCAGAAACCTGAGTGTTTCAGGATCAGCAGCGTTGGGAGGGAGGAGGCAGAATCAGCTGCTGAAACTGGGAAACTGCCCCCCGCCCCAGCACCTCCTCCCTGGCAGACGCTGCCTCCTTCCCCCAGCAACATGAGTCAGGCTATGACAAGCGCACAAAGGGACTAGCCAGGCAGAGTGACTGTCTGTCCTCCACCCCAAGCAAACCGCCTGACCTGAAATCTGGTGTCTCCATCATGAGTTGCCCCGTATGTGCTGCCTAGGCTAAAGCACCCCTAGAAAATGACGAGATGTCAGTATGCTTGGTCACAAACAACAGATTAAAATGAGACAGCTGAAATCACTGCCACACTCCACTCTGCATCTTGGCACTCTTTTGACTGAAGCTTTGAACCAAAATCTTATCGCTGATTTCAGCTTACGTAACTACTCCAGGATGCGAATGAGAATGGTTCAGAAGATGCTGTATTCTCTGCCCCCACAGCAGTCCCCGAGAGGAAGGCAGAGCAGAGAGATGAGAGCACTGACCACCTCAGTATCACCCAGTGCACCACAGGTCTCCTAAAGAAGCCCCTTTAGCTTTGATGAGCCCCCTGAATTCCCTAGACTTCTGAGCTGGTGTTTTTTAATCAGATGATTGTATCTTGCCCAGGCAAAGGGGAGAATCATTCAGTTGAGTTTTCTCTGCCAACACAGCATTATCCACTCATCTCTGAGAACATCACTGTATAAAGGCAACGCTTATTTTATCCCACACAGAAATGGGGTGTAGGCAAAAGCAGATGCCTTAAGTATGGCTTATACTCTCTCCAGTGATGAATATAAATGTCTAGGATGACCCCACATCCACAGTCCCTCCCACTACAGCTCTTACCAGCCAAGATATCATAGGATTGCCATCCAGGCAAAGGAGCGTAACACACTTTCTGTCAAAAAAACACTTACCAAAGATGTTCTTCACATTCTGCTCATTTACCAGATAATCCACGTATTGACGAATCACTGAAAGGTTAATTTGTCTGAAATTAAAGGAACCATAGCAACCTTAGGAGCCTCAGCAACTGTAAGTTTCCACCTACAGATATCTTAAACTTCGAGGTTAAGAAAACAAAAAAAAGACATGTATTTTTGAAGCCTTGCATTTGTACACACACAAATTACCCCAAAGTGTTTCACGCTCAGCATGTATTTAACATTTCAGGTAACAGTTCAATTCTGAATTCTTCCAGTTTCTTTTCCTCCTGACAAGCAGTTCACTGTTCCAACCTTTTATCTCAATAGATAATTACTGCAAGGTCATCACAGCAAAGGACTTTTCTGAGGAGATATGAGAGAACGAGAGGAACTCAAACCTTTGTGACTGCTGAGGGAAACAGGATCCCTCTTGAGAGCACAAAGATATTTGTGCAAGTGCTGGCAAATAGTTAAACTACACTTGTAACTGCTGGACACAGTCGGTGAAATGGCATCTGCTGGATGTGACTTTGACCTCTCTCTCTCAGTAAAGGATGAGGAAAGCAACAGACTTCCCTGACAAACAGGGGAAACTGAATTCTAGGTTTATCTTCTATGTAGGACAAACTTCTTGTTTATCAGTGTATAATTCACCATTGTTTTCATTTGTCCAATATACAGACCAATCCTATAGTCTGGAAGTCAACTCTGAAACCTTGACTGGGTTCACACATCACCCAAAATTTCATAGCTGCTTTCCACAGAATGTATCTTACAAGGGCCAGGCATTCCAGACAGAGGGCCTGGATCACTCTCCAAATACATGTTGCAATAAACTTGAGTAGTAATAAAAAATGAAATCAGAAATAAGTTTCCTTTAACAAGAAACAAAGCAGTGACTGCAATGCAAATTAGTTCCCTGACTGAGACAGTACCATGCTTTACAGCACTTCTCAAAAGTAAAGGATCTCTTTCAGAGGACTGTACCAGCAAATCTCCTCCATCTCCCTCAGAAATGCACACAGATCTTGACACATCACCCATCAGAGAAGCTCAGGGTTCTTTGCTGACTCCAAACAACTCTGTCTTGCAACACCACAATGCAGTACATCTGTTTACCACCACTGCTTTGAGGAAGGCTGAATTTCAACTTTTGATTTGATGTTATTTTCAGAACTGTGCAGTCCTTGCAATATTTTCTTCTGGTTTAGACGAATTCCATGCATATGTCCATACACATGAATGTGTGCATGAGCTAGCTAGGGCACAGAAAAGTCTAAAAGGACATCAGATTTTGACAATTATTTCCTAGCTCTTGAGCACTTTTTTACTAGGACTGTGATGTACCTTAACGAAGGTGAAGATGCTGCAATACCCTACACGTACAACCTTACTATGATTTAACTTGCACCTACAAAAGCAGTAGAAAAAGAGATGTGAGACTGATCCAAACTCTCCAAACCCAGACCTACAGCACTTGCTGGGCAACAGGAGGATGCAGAGGTGAAGGGAACCCGCTTCTGGTGCTAGTCAGACCAAACCAGTAGTTTCCCCAGCCCATCAGAGATCTAATTTAAAAATAAAATTAAAACTGATCAGTTCCAGTTAAGAAAGAAGGGAAACTGCTTTTTAAGGTAACAGTAAGCAGTGCTACTCTGACAACATGCCATGTTGTGATACAGGGTCATACTCACCCATCAGGAGTCATTGGAGTGACTGTAGCAGCTACAAGACCCTGTAACTTCTTGCCGGGTGTCATTGAGCTGTTTGGAAAAGAGATGAACACGATTCACATCTTTATTTAAGCAAAGCCCCAATTAACTTCTCTTGACAGCAAAACTAGACAGGCAAAGTTCACAAGAAGTGGACTTTGTAAGAGTGTTATTTTTGGTTAGAGAGAATTGTCTTTTTGTTGTTGTCGTTGAAAGAGCAGCTTATCGCAGCCAGCACCATCCCAGGACAGGACTGGACTGGGAGCACAAGGTGCAGTTACAGACATCTTCTATTTTACCTTTCCTTTTCCACCTTAGAGGTTATGGTCTAGCACACAGCCTGGCAGCTCGGAAGGGACAACGATTTTGCAGAGAACCGGGCTCAAAACCCTTCCCCCCCCGAGAAAGGCAGCCTCACACTGACACCCACCCCCGCCCGG